CTGCCCAGGGAAGTGGTTGAGTCACCATCCCTGGAAGTATTTGAAAGACATGTAGATGAGGTGCTTAGGGACATGGTTTAGTGGGCATGGTGGTGTTGGGTCGACGGTTGGACTCGATCTTAGAGGTCTTTTCCAACCTTAATGATTCTATGATTCTAAGGCACACAAGGGTAAAACAAAACTAAAACAAAAAAACCCTTTGAACTCGAAGGTCTCAGTCCCAGTAAGAGTACTTACAAACACATACTTCATTGGCTTTGGTTCTCTAAAGGTCTATACGTAGTCTAAACCACTAACACTGTGTTTAAGTAAATGAGACAGACTATACTCCACTGTCTTCCGATTAGATAATAATATAAATAATAGTAAAATACTCTGTTATCATACAGGTGTTAATGCACATGATCATCCTTATTACACCTTATTGCTTCAGTCTCTGTGCATCAGAGCTCAGCAACTTACTAATCAGAGTATTGCTCTGTACAATGCTTGGTAAGCACATTGAGTGTAGGCTGACAATACTGTTTTATACAATTACTTCCTTTCCTAAGAGTACCCATTTTAAAGGCTTTGGCTCTGAAGGAAAGTTCGGCAGAATGCCACGTACCTAAGAATAATTTTGTAAGGTCTGCTACCTTATAAAAGGTGTGTCTGGGAACAGGAGTGGGAATGATGGGAGAGGATGGGATTGCCTCTGACATCTGGAGACTCTTTGGTATCTGCACCCTAAAGGTATGGTTCCACTGCAACGTATGCTGACTTAACTGCCGCTTTACGTGTTTGTGCCATTCCTCCCTATCCTGGACTGCATGTTTCTGTCCCCTTGCTCATTCTGGCTCTGGCAGTTTTCCAGTTGTCCCTAATTCTTTTTGCTAAATTGATCATTGTTTTGTTGGAGCAGTTTTCTACTAGTTTAGCACAGTGCAATACCGAAGTGCAGTGTCAGATGAATGTGAGAACAGCTGCAAGGGAGAAGATGAAACATGGGGAGAAGGGATGGGACTCCATCAACTAGCAATTTAGGTTGGGATGCCATAGACTAACTTACTGAAATTACTCCTCATCAAAAATACTTGTTACGGAATTGTGGCTTATTCCTTATAAAAAAAACCTTTTTATAGAACTGCAGCAAAAGAATTCTGACAGATGGTTTTAAATTTATGAGGTTATCAGGTGGAAACAGAGGTACCTATAAAAGATGATTTCCAACTCACTTTTCCTGTCGCTTGATTCGATACGTTAAATTTTTATATGCCACAATCATTTTTATTGATGCCTACTCTGAAAATAATTTATACTTTAAAAAATGCTCTTTCTCCACAGTGCCTAATGTTTTTGCAATACTGTATGGTAATTACGCAAAAAAAGGTAAATCAGATGAACCTGTCAGATTCCCAATAAAGAAGTTGAGTACCAGAGAGTATTGTTCTTGGGTCCCCCCCCCCGCCCCTTTTTTTTTTGAAATCGTTCTTACAATATGGCTGAGTACCATTCCACCTTGTATTATGTTCTATTTCAAGCAAGTATTCCTGTTAAACGTTGAACCAGATTTGTTACAGACTTCAGGATAGGTATCATCTCCAGGCAATGACATATCACTGTGTCGCTGAGTACAACATAAAAAGCCAATGTCTGCATTAGCAATCAGTGCAATGAAATAGGAATGGATCGACAAGTAAAACAATTGAGTTAGCGAGGACCCGATGTACACACTGAATGCATTGCAGGAGTTTTTACTTCTGACCAGCTTCCATCTTGCCCTGTGGACTGCATGCCCATCAGCTGCTGGATTACACTGGCTGAGCTTCTGGTGTGCATCTTTGAGTTTAACTTTATCTGAAAGGAGTCTAGTTTGCATGCTTTGAGACTCTTACATGATACAAGCCAAAGCATTTTAAGGGGACAATCAGGAAATTCACTTCAAAAACACACTCCTGATCTGATTTAAAGTACTAAAATAAATGCACTTGAAGCTACAGTGGCCATCAAAAGAACACACTGGGACATGCAGCTATCCAGATTTCATCTTATACCTGAATACGAGGTTGGTTTCAGCTCACCCTTTCCTGGAAATTAGGTTTATCCTTCAGACTTACAGTAATTTAGCTTTCAGGTGAGCAAATTCCACAAAGCCCCCTGCATATAATCCTTGTGTTAGGGAAAGTCCAATTCACGATTTTAAACTGACAATAGTGTATAGCAGATTTAAGCAAACACTTTTATTTCTGAACTCAGCAACTTCATCCACAGCATAAACAAAAGAAATCCTTTAAGTAGTTTCAAAAGAGTGCACTTCAGTAACTGGAACCAAGTTATTAAGTAGTCACATCCCTGAACTTAGGACAATTACTGCCCACAAATCAGGTTTGTGAAACAGACACAGTAGGAGTTGATATGTAACACAAATTCACTAGACTGTACGAGCTATTGATTTATTGTAAAATAATGTTAAATAAACACTTATTTTGCAATGACTTCACACACCTTTATCCTAAGACGACCTTGGGAAAAGGAAAAAGGAGGACCCCAGCTCTATCTATGAACATCCAAAAGGATTCATTCTTCTTTCTGTGTGCAATGCAGCTCCCCCCAAAAAGACAGTGAAACTGCTCCATAATTAGATTACTCCAAACTGTTGACAGTTTTCAGCACAGTAGTGGGGACCAGTAGTAGTAGTAATAGAAACTATTTTGCCAGACCAGCAGATTGGAAATATTTATTAATAGGTATATTGTATTGTATGCAGTTTCATCACCTGTAGATTTTAGGGAGAACTTACTGAACTTAAGTTTTCTAACATAAAGAATATTAAACCCCCCCCCCGAAAA